TTGTTTATCATCTGCGTTCTTGTTTACAACCTTTGTTATTACTTTTACACACAAACTAGTTTTTGAGCGGTGCAAACTCCTAATACGCCATAGTAATTTAAAAGGAAATGCTATCTCCAACTTACAACTTTTTTTAAATCCTGGTAATCCTAGCATTCGTAAAAAAAATATTATATGTATATATTGGAAAAATAGAATAGGAAAGAAATAATAAGAGGGATAGTATAGGAAAGATGGAATATCAAAGATAGAAAAGGAAAGAAACATCAGAAAAGAAGGAATAGGAAAGATGGAATAGGAAAGATAGAATAGGAAAGAAAGAGTAGGAAAGATAGAATAGGAAAAACAGAACATAAAAGATAGAATAGAAAGATATAATAGGGAAGAAAGAATAGGAAATATTGAATAGGAAAGATATTATAGACAAGAAAGAATAGAAAAGGCAGAATTGGAAAGAAAGAATAGGAAAAATAGAATAGGAAAGATAGAAAATGAAAGATAGAATAGGAAAGATAGAATAGGAAAGATAGAATAGAAAGATAGAATAGAAAGATAGAATTGGAAAGATAGAATAGGAAATATTGAATAGGAAAGATAGAAAAGGAAAGAAAAAATAGAAAAAATAGATAGGAAAGATAGGATAGGAAAGATAGAAAAAGAAAGATAGAATAGAAAGATAAAAAAGGAAAACAAAGTAGGAAAGATATGATAGAAAAAGATATGATAGGAAATATAGAATAGGAAAGATATGATAGGAAATATAGAATAGGAAAGATATGATAGGAAAAATAGAATAGAAAAAATATGATAGGAAATATAGAATAGGAAAGATATGATAGGAAATAAGAATAAGAAAAGATATTATAGGAAATATAGAATAGAAACGATATGATAGGAAATATAGAATAGAAAAGATATTATAGGAAATATAGAATAGAAAAGATATGATAGGAAAAATAGAATAGAAAAGATATGATAGGAAAAATAGAATAGAAAAGATATGATAGGAAATATAGAATAGGAAAGATATGATAGGAAATATAGAATAGAAAAGATATGATAGTAAATATAGACTAGGAAAAGTACAGGGTTGAAAAACAAATTTAATCAATTTTTATTGCTTAGATAAAATGTGTGTGTAGAATTGAAATGTGAAATAATAAGATATTTCTGAGTCATCAACATCTGATTGAAATGTGAAATAATAAGATATTTGTGAGCCATCAACATCTGATTGAAATGTGAAATAATAAGATATTTGTGAGCCATCAACATCTGATTGAAATGTGAAATAATAAGATATTTCTGAGCCATCAACATCTGATTGAAATGTGAAATAATAAGATATTTGTGAGCCATCAACATCTGATTGAAATGTAAAATAATAAGATATTTGTGAGCCATCAACATCTGATTGAAAGCATATGTTTTAATCTCAAATGAACTGGAAAAGATGGAAACTGTTGAAAAAAGAAAACTATTCTCAAGATTTTCTAAATTAAAATCCAGGTTTTTAAAAAATTTTATTTAGTTTTTATTTAGCTATATGATTTATTATTTTTGTTTGAAACTTCATGTTAAGTAAAAGGGCTTACAAGACAACCTTTGTTTCCTGAGTGTCATTCCCGTAACACAACGGTACCCTCTGCAGAGCCAGAATGACTGAAATATTATTATTTTCACTCGGAAAATTAATTAGTTTAAATTGTTGTTTCTCTGTGTAAGTAACACGTTTCAATATCCTTAATCAGTGTGATCAGAAATCATGGGAACATTCCCTTAATTTATGTTGAGTCACCAACTATTACATATTACAAAATTTAGAAAAATATATCTAATTTGAAAATTTCTTTTTTTTATTTTATCTAAAAGTTTCTATAAATCTAGAATTAGATTAGGAATAGTATCAACAATGTTAAGAATACAAATAAACTTTTCTTATTGATTTGTTCTTGTTACTTACAGATTTGAATTTACTCTACGTGGAATGATTTCTACTTTAGCTCACAAAAGAGGTATGTTTTTAGAAAAAGAGAAATTATAACATAATATTAAACCCATCTCATCAAAAATCAAGAGTTGATAAAAAAAGATAAAAGCAAATTTCTAGAAAATAATGTTTTAAAAATCGTTTTCATATTGTCGTAAAACCTTTTAAAAGTCTGAAAATATTGAAAGTTTCTGTAAAACGAATCTAGCTATTGGCTATTCCTAACTGTGAGTCCTACAATATATATTTAAGACCGATGGTTCAGCTTTTGGAAGTTTATTGGACACAAACAAACAAACCAACACCAAAACATGCCAAGCATAAAGTATTAAAGATTTTAAATCTTTTATTCAGAAATGGTAAAGTGGTTTTCAGAATAACCTTTTAATTACTACTCGTAAACTCAAGTACATAAATCCAAAATAATATGTTAACAAAAACAAAAACACGAAACTGGAGCTAAACTATTATATATATTATATTATATATAGCCGTTTTGGAAAAGGGCTCGGAAGTGAAGGCTCACTCGTCAAATCTATATTTAAATTTGGGTTATCTTTAGGTCCGTTTGTATCCATTAAACGTCAAAACGGCTGAACCGAACGGGCCAACATTATCATTGGCAACGCACATGACCCCAGGAAAGGTTTATGAACCACCAATGTTGAAAAATTCATGATTTTAAAAAATGCACCAAAATTTAAATAGAAAATCCACGAAAATTCGAGAATGATCAAAACGGCCACTTTCAGAGGAATTCTTGTATAAGATTGTTAAGAAAAAAAATGGGATCTAAAAACGTCTCAGTATAAGCATAGTTAGAGTAAAAGTAAGTTACAGGTTAAATCAAAACCAGAAATCCTCCATTAGATGATGATATCCAGTAAATATTATACTTGGGTGTGGTGTAAAGTGAAAACTAGGAAGGTCACAAAGTCGTACTAGCTAAATTTTGAAAAAAAATATTTTATTATTTCATTTTTTTCCTTGCAAAGGATGTATTTTTTAGCAATTTTCATTGTCTTCATGTTTCAAAATATTTCTGTTCAATTTTCGCCTGAAATACAAACTAATATGGGTGATATCATTTGGCAATTTTATGATAATTATGTTAGATCCTGATTTCAAAGGAATTGAATCTTTGCTACAAACTCAAGTTTTCTAATTCCTAAACCTTTTCAATCTGATGTTGTAAACCTTTGATATTTCAAACTTAGATTTTTTGATCCAGCAGAATTTATAGTTTGAAATATCCTAGGTCTACGAAATTGGGTTACAAAGATATAGAAATTAGAAAATCTGATTTTGTGGCAAAGACTCAATTCTTTTAAAATTTATGAGTAAACAAAAAGAAGCTGTTAATTGACAGCTTATCTTTGTATCCATGTTTATATGTATCCATGTATCCATGCTATTTGAAAGCCTTGTGGATATCAAAATTGAATTCGAAAGTAGTCTACTAAGTATTAATGGATACCACGAAAAATAGTAAGTTGTATAATTCGATATGAAATCAAGAAAGACTTTTATTTTATCAATCAAATAGCTTAAAAAACCGGGCAGCTGCAGAGATCACGGGGCTCGGAGCCCGTTTTGCGAAGCTCATGGCGGCCCTGATCCCTGCCTCGCTAATAGCTATGAAATAGTTTCATATATTGTCCTAGGGTTAGAACTAACGATTGAATCTGATTCAAGATAATTAAATGATAGGGTAATGTTTCCCATTTAAATCAATTTAACCAAATCTTTGGCAATTAATTTATTAAATTACTTTCACTTTAAACTAGGATCGACATTCGAAACCAAGCCTTTCTTACTGTTCAAAGATAAAAACCTTAGTCAAGAATTTTAAAACTTATATTCAACCAATCTAATGTTTTTATAAAGAATTTAGCTTTTTTCGATATGTTGAAAGAATGAACAAGAAAATATATAAAAGATGTTAAATATTGAAAATATGCTGAATTCCAATCCAATGCATTTTGAAACATTATTTTAAAGAAAAACTGGTTTCTCCGCCGGTAAAATATAAATTCCAACAAAAAATCCCATCATTAAACGTGGCTATTTTTAAAAATTCAAAATTCATAAAGATTAAAAATCAAATGTTGATATCTTTTAAATTGTATTTTGTTGTCTTTTTCTATATATTGGTTATTTTGAGAAAAGAAATATTTCTGAACAATGTTAGAAAACCAATAACACGTGACACAATACCAAATATACGTGACACAATACCAAATATACGTGACACAATACCAAATATACGTGACACAATACCAAATATACGTGACACAATACCAAATATACGTGACACGATACCAAATATTCGTGACGCAATACCAAATATACGTGACACAATACCAATAACACGTAACACATTACCAAATATACGTGACACATTACCAAATATACGTGACAAAATATCAAAAATACGTGACACAGTACCAAATATACGTGACACAATACCAAATATACGTGACACTATACCAAAAATACGTGACACAATACCAAATATACGTGACACAATACCAAATATACGTGACACAATACCAAAAATACGTGACACTATACCAAATATACGTGACACAATACCAAATATACGTGACACTATACCAAAAATACGTAACACAATACCAAATATACTTGACAAAATATCAAAAATACGTGACACAATACCAAATATACGTGACACAATACCAAAAATACGTGACACAATACCAAATATACGTAACACAATACCAATAACACGTAACACATTACCAAATATACGTGACACATTACCAAATATACGTGACACAATACCAAATATACGTGACACAATACCAAAAATACGTGACACAATACCAAAAATACTGACACAATACCAAATACACGTGACACCACGTTTTTTACGCATAACAGGACAGTTTTTCTTCATAAAAACATTCACTGCTTTTTTAACAACTGATCTTTGCCACAATCCTGCAACCTTCAAAAGAAATGTGGTTGATTTCAAATTCCTAAAGAATACATATTCCAGTCGGTCGGTGTGGTAGAGATATTAACGACATTTTTTGTTAATTATTTTAAAATTGACAGATATATCCGTAAAAACAGGTATTTCCGTTTACTAACGGAATTTTTTCCGTAATCTTTCAGAACCATAAACATCTGAGTGCTTACGACACGTTGCTCAGAGAACCCTGTAGAAATGTAATAAATAAAATTTGCTTATGATTTCTTAAATGTCGTCTTCCTATTCCACTGTTTTATAAACCGCACTGTAAGTATTATATATATCAGCAGATTTTGAAATATCATGTAAATTAATCTATTTGTGGAGATGTCTCACACACACGTTTCACAAAAGATACAATATACAGCGTGTCTCAATAAACTTGATATTTGGTGGGCGGGGGGGGGGGGTCAATATAACATATCATAATTTGAGTCTAACAGTCTATACCGAAGTTTTATTGGTTTCACTTTACGATAAGAGTTAAAATGTGCATTTTAAACTATTTCTTGTTTACAAATACAGAATTAATTTAAACTATTAGATACAATATGTTGAATATTTTTATATACTTTGCGAGCCTTTTGCAAGGCATTCTGAAGTTGGAGACAGTTTATTCCATCTTGAAAAGTGCATTTGAGGGAAGATATTCTAATTGTAATAATGTAATATAATCTAACTTTATCTTTGTACCCTGTTATATATGCTAATCTATAAAGTTCAATGATTTGACTGTCGGTCAGTCTAATTTTAACCTTTATCATTTTACCTAAATATAGTTAGTTACAAAGATAATCATTAATTGGTAGAGAAATAGATTCAAAACTAAAAACTTTTGAATGGTGGATAGCTTGATCCTCTCTTTTTATGAATATCGAGACTAACCTAATCTTATACTTGTATCCTGAAAAATGTAAAAATTCAACCAATCAGAGTCGCATATATGAAGCCGAGTGCCATTTAAGCACAGAAACGGGAGGGACTCTCTAATTTAGAAAAACCGGTTTTTGAATTTTCTCTACTATATCCAAGAAAGAACGGTTTAAGAAGAACATCAAAAGTGTTTCCATTGGATACTCAGATTAAGTAATCGGGATTAAGGATATCTCATTCTAAAGTTTTTTGCTCTGAGGACTTTTAGAAGAGTTAGAGATTACTTAGAAAACACCTTTGGAGCTGTGACATTGTTACATAATGAGTTTCGAGAACACATTATATCCATTGCTAGCTGAATTAGGTGCCCTAGTTGCCTGTTGAAATTTTCGGAAACACTTAAAAAATTTTTTTTCGAATTTTGAAAAATATTTTATCAAAAAACGTTTTGAATTTTAAAGATTTTTTAAAAATTTCATTCAATTTGGTCCAGCCGTTTGGCCAGCTATCCTACATATATATGCGCGAAGAGCTTTATTATATACTATAAGATATCTATATTATAATATAAAGAATATGTATATTTACTTATTTATGAATTATGCACAATATCTAGAGATATATATTACATTATATTTAGATCTCGAATTTTCTATTGAAAATCAAGAAAGATTTGTTAACACAGAACTTAAGTTGATTACAGATTGAAGAAAATCTCAGCAAATTCTATAAAGACACAAATAAACTACAGTGCAACAATTAGAAATTAGAATCGTATGGACGTTTTACAATAATTGTATTGCATTTTTTGGTTGGCAAATGTATAAATAAACGTAAAAGTAAAATCAATGTTGTTATGTTATTGTATGAATGACCATACAAAAAAAAGCAAAATTTTCGCTTTTTTAAGGAATGGAATGCAAAAAAGTGCTGAATTTTCGGTGAAAAAAAATTTTCCCAGTTCGTTAGAAACCCTAATGAGCACTAGATATTAACATATTACGATGAGTTTGAACTGTAGAGCTTCCCAAAATTATATTGTATCATCTCCAAGCTTATAGTCACAACGCTTTTGTTTAAAGAAGACATTTCTAAAAATGCTTCAACCGAATCATCCCATGTGATTCTACAGAACTCATCGACATTCAACTTTT